CAGGTTTCTCCCCAGATGAATATCAAACAAGGCGGAGCGGGCAGGGGTAGGCGGGGAGGGGGGAGGGGGAGGGGCGGAAATAGGGGTAAGGGGGGAGGTGCGAAACTAGGGCGGTGTCCGGGGGGCGTGGTATTTTTTAACGTACGACTAATTAATGATGTAAAATCGCCACCAACACCATGACGTGTATTTGGGCGGTTCTTGTATATATAAGATAGCCGAGTCGGTGTACAGTTACGCTGGACAGCGTTAACTTGTGTACTGCTCTGCGTGCATTGCGTGGTACGGTTAAAAAATTGACACGCGTCGGATGTCAGACCTGTCGAACGCAATTCTTGACGGATCGATTCCCGCGCTGGCCAAACTTTTATTTGTGGTGGAATTTAAAACGGGGCGGAGGTTAATTTAAACTGCGGGCGCAACGATTCAAACAGGGGGGAGTTTTCCCAACGGCGGCGCACCGACTTATATGTGTACTGGGACTTCCCACCAGTTAAACATTATTACATAATTCTCAGCACACCTTCGACAAAAGCAACACGGTAGGAGTTGAAAACCCCTGACGCTGTCATACGATCGAAGTTAGTGCCGTTAGATCGCCCTTTTAAGGCTCACGCTTCAGTGTACTCTCAATTAAACAATATTTTTACAGTAGCTCCTCTACACTTCCACTGATAAGCATACAAATGTACTAAGCACGACCTACTACTCTCCCTCTGACCTTGCTAATTCCTAGCATGTTGGTAACCTATATGCCTTTACCTCGGTACGCCGGGGGATAATCCTTCACTCTGCGCAGAGGTTACACGGATTGCATTTCTGGTCCATCAGAGTACTCGTTTAGGCAGATGCTATACTTAAGGAACGGTAAACCATTGCAGTCCCGTTATTTATGCTCAATACCTCAAAGATCTTACGTTTCCGCCAATAGATAAGACAACAGATATACGCGGATCACCTCCATGTGAACAGTACTAGAAATTACTTGCCCATAATTAAGGCTCTTAGTACCCTGGGGCACTGCATGGCGCACTACATGGTCTTAAGAAAGTAGAAGCACAGATGAGTGGTAAGAAATTATTAAATCCTTTCTCAAATTGTGGATATTTAACAAAAGCAGAGCGCGACTTGTGAAATGACATTAGGAGTTGTAACTGGGGCAGTTGACACCCCTTGCTGGGTTCACAATAGCTCTAGTACTATACGCCCGCCTAGTGCATCGCATGCCGCCAGGATCCTGCCCTGCCGCAGCGATCCTGCGGGCTATAGTACTAGAGCTACCCTGGGCCCTGACAATTTTTGAATGGTAGAACGTTCTGCGAGATGCAATCTGGTGCAGTCTTGCCGAGAGAGATTTAGGGACAACAAAAATGTAGAAACTAAATTTTTTTAACCCAAAATTTACTGGAAGCACTGTGCTTCCAGTGCTTCTATCTGCGGGCGCCACTGCGCCTGGGGGACATAGACCCTCTCAGCGTCAGTGTCACTGACTCACTGTTCCATCATTCATCAATCAACAGTACAGACCCTTAAAATAAGTGTTAGCTTCAATTTTTCTTTCCTCTGCCAATTTCTTGCTTTCGGAACTAACTTGCTGTTGCATGACATTGGCTACCCAAAGCTTGTCCCTATCACAGTCCTATTCATTTTTCTTTGACTTCGTCCTTACCTTAAATATGCATAAGTGCAATGCCCTTGGAAGGAATAACGATATTTTTGTTTTAACAGTTCCTGCTTTCATATACTAGGGATTTGTGCTCGCCAGCCATTTTGATTTACAACGCTGATGCATTCGCACTTTGATACAACTTGTCTTCCAGTTGTCTCGTAATCGTAGAGGAGTAAGATTAATCTATAGATCTATACTTCTATATCTACTATTATAATATTAATATTAAGATAAGTGAATGATTATCATATTGGTATTACTTTAACAAGAAACACTCTTCAGATCGAACATGCGGTCGGCATGTTTGATCATAACTTCGAGCAACAGGGTGGGTGCGCTGCTCTATAATCTCACTTTCCCGTTTATGGGTTCCTTCTTCCTGCGTCGTCCTTTCTTGGGAGCCCTGCCCTGAATAGGAGCCTTCTTATCTGCTTTCCATAAGGCTGGCTCTAGGCGACCTGCAAGGTGACGTACTACGGATGAGCTATCGTGACGTCACTGACTGCCCATTGTGGTATTATATAGTTATAATAGCACGCTTTAATTAAAGCTTCACGATGACAACCGGGTCCCCCCTTCCCACGCCTTACCTATCGCACACGAATATACTGTACACTGTTGTGCTAGTTCGCACACAATACTATATAAGTAATCGTTTTTTTTAATAAATAACATTATTTTAATTTAATTAAAGTTTTGATTAATTACACATTTCGTTTTGCACATAAATAATTCATCTTGATAGACAAGTATGACGATGGACAGGTATAAATATACACAGAAATAATGACGATCAGGTATGAAGACGGACAGGTAGGGACAGGTAGAGAGGTAAACAGGGCGAAGGATGGATAGGTACAAGAAAATGGACAGATAGGAAGCTAAACAGGAAATAAATTAATTTACTCACCAGCTAGCTTTTTCTCGTCAACTAGAGTATGTTTAACATTTTTCACGCTGACGTCATGAAGTAATGCCATAAACCCCTTTAGGAAAGCTTGCGTCACCAAGGGAAAGCTAGAGCTGATGCTGTAGAAAGCAGTCGCAGACATGATTTAGTAACATGATCAACTAAAATGACGTATTATACCACTAGGTCCGTAACCAGCGTCACCACATGCCCAAGTAGTACAAATTTTGGGCTTACCGTTTGATCTCGTTGATGAGGTTCATTTGTGAAACTGCCGTTTCGTCATCGATATACCTTTGACTGTGACCATGCTCATGCAGCTATTTCCACGGCCCAGCTAACCATAGCTGTATATGACCGCCAATCACGGCCGTCCGGCTGATGCTTAGAGTACCAGTTCTTGTCCGCCGATGAAAAAAAAACAGGAGGGCGAAATACGATAGAAAATGACACCAGACGCTCGAAGTCTATGCTCACTATTCAGGGCGTAGTTTTCGTGGACGATGTAAGCGTTCGGATTATAGATGTATGATTAAGGCTCACAAGCACGCCTCCACGCACCAGCCGAGCTGACAGCTACACCCGCTGCCCCTACAAACACTTGTCCCATGTACAGCACACGCGCGCGCGACGCACACACAGCACTAACGCAACATCACATATATTACAAACGCACGCACGCACGCATTCCACTTTTATGCACACGCAACACGCCGCGGCGAACGTAACACTCACACTCGGCCGAACGCGATACAGCACAAGAAAAATGAGAGTGATCGTCAGACTCGCACATTTCATGTGATTTACTTACAACAATGGCACAGCATCTCCAAAACGCGCGCTTATACTTGTCCACCTGGTCACATTTTCGTTCTCTCAACTTGTTCTTCAAGTGTGTGATAACGCTGATGTGAGCCATACTCATGTCTTTTATAACAGGTGTTCTATAGCATCCCGCGCTCCACGCAGGCTGATTGAACAGCTCCTATACACAGACACAAACACATTCATTATAATAGTGCTATAGGCTCCTATTATATAACCTATATTATATAAACGAATAATTAAATTAATTAATTAATATATATATTTATATATATATATATATATATAATGTGTTTATATGTGTATATATGCCTATATATAAGGACATTATATCGGCTGTTATGAGTCATTCCCTTATGTATACATGGAAAACATAATTGAGAATATAAATTCAACATACACCCATTTATTGCACATCGCCATTAGGCCTATAAACTTCATTCGGCGAGATTTACATTCTTTTGTGGCATCTCTTATCCGAAGCGTGTCACACGCGTTATTAGCAACATACTAATAACGTAGAGAGAGACCCACGACACCTTTCTCTTGACGTTTCCAGACATGAATTGCTGGGACAACCACGCAAGAATTTCAATCTCACTAGCTATTATAACGTCTTTCTTCTGTCTATGAAGTCTTGGAGTAATCAGTCTGACAGAATGAATACTCCAAGATGAAGTTTACTATTTACCTTTGCTATGCGCTATAGAGTTCACACGACTGGCCTTCCAAGTTTCCAACACAAGTAAATTTTCGAATCGGTACGACGAGGTATCGACCAGAAATTGCAGAAACGCAGTAAGCAGCAGACCGCGGTTCAGGTACAGATTGCCTACCTGAAGAAATGTCGGAAGTTCACCATCCTTGGCTGTCGGTATATCATTTAGTCCAACGCCATACCTGAAACCATAATTAACTTAACTGCATATTATAGTACACGCATACATCAATAATTATCTGTTTGCTTTTCGTAAATAATGAAAGGCCCGGCCAATGCATTTCGCACCGAAGTGGAAAAATTAGGCATTTTTACCCGCTTTCGGAAGTGAACGAGTG